CAAACACATCTGCAATGCAGATCACGTTACCGCATTTATGATGCTTTTGTGATCCAGATTAGTAGGTATAGCAATCAGACACAAACACAATGGAAGGGTTCAGGGTCATTGGTATTGCTGAGGTACTGCTGAATATTGAAGGGGATGGGGAAGGACCTATGGGGATCTCTTTCCAACTATTTCCTTTCTCTCTTTTTGACCTTCTCATTCTCTCATATTATCAATCTTGACCTTGACAGCTTCTTGATAAATGGCGTAACCATACTTGTTTTGTTTTTACTTATGTTGATTAATGTTTTTAATCTTCCTATCCTGTTCTATGAGTAGGTATCTTCTTCTGCATAACCCAACCCTGGGAGAGTCATTTGCATGTGTATGATGTGTATGTATTTGTTTATATATATGAATGGGAATATTGTTTATATTTATAGGTCTTTGTTCATGTATATTTATGACATGTTTGGTCAATTATCAGAACAATCAGGCTGCTCTAGGATTAGAGAAGTGGACCCCCACCCAAAAAACAAGAAACAATAAAAAAAAAGGAAAAAAAAGAAAATACCTACACACTTGCGCACACCACCACCACCTACAATAACAAGTCACACAAATTCCAGCCAAAACATATCTCTTTCCTGTGCCTGTACTGCAACCATGACTGTTTCCACGAAGACTGTACGAAGTGCATGTCACAGTAGCTATCACATGTCCTGCTATGAGAGTAACATCTTTTAGTTCTTGTTTAGGTAAGTATGTAACTCAGGTCGTTCTTTGACATGAAAATAGATTGATATCAGAGTGTTTTTTTAAGAGGGTAATATTTGTAGTGAATCTGTTAATGTTTGCAGGTTTGGCACTGCGACTGGTTTTCCCTTGCAAGGCAAAAATGGAGGAAATCTTGAGGAGCAGAAAAGAAAGGCCAGAGCAGAGAGGTCTTTACTTGTGCTTCTTCACTCTAACATTTGCTTTACTACATTCTCCTTTGATAACTCATTGACGGCTATATATATATAGGTAAAAGCTTATGTCAACTTAAGTGGATAGGAAATAGTCATCCACCAATTTTTTTATTCATTGATGTTGACTTGGGATCCGTGATAGATATGAAGAGTCCTTTGAGATTTGTGCATCTCTTGATGACACAAATCTTAATACAAGATGAGTGGACAAGGCCTCCTATTCACTTAAGTTGACATAAGCTTCTCTCTCTCTCTCTCTCTCTCTATATATATATATATATATATACACATACACATATATATACACACATACACATATATATACACACATACATGTATGTATTCATACATGATATATATGTATGTATGTATGTATATATATATATATATGTTATGATTATATAGATCTGATTAAGTAGGAATTTGTAATTGAAATATATTCTTTATTCTTTTTTGTTGATAATATAAAAGGAATGATAGTGGGACGTCACTCAAGTCGCGTAGCGTAATGTTTCCCGTTGAAGCCGTGATGGTGTGTAGGGTAGTGTAAATCATTGACAAACGTGCTATTATAAGTTTTGTTTTATCTTAAAAAAAGAAAAAAGAAGAATTTCAATTATAAATCCTTACTTATTAGAATTTATATAGTTTAATCCATAAGAAACTCTTTATGTAGAGTTAATCTCTTCCTCATCTTCAAAGACGGCTCGTAATACGAGCAA